CGTCTGCACTGATCTTAGCAGTGAGTGCTCAATGTGAGCACTCACTGCAGAAGTGGCGGTGGAGCAGGTGGTGGTGGTGGTGGTGGTGGTGGTCGTCCCGGGAGCTCTGCAACGAGCCCTGGCAAGAACCTGCCAGTGTAGACATAGCCCTAGAGGGCATGCAGCTGGCTGGCTCAAGCCCCTTCCCCCCAAGCTCAGTCCACTCAAATCGGGAAGAGGGAGGCTTGTTCTTCTGAGACCCGTTACAATGACAGTGGGTCTCCTGTAAGCACTGGTGTCATATTTGATAATCTGTGCCCTGTGTGTTAGTTTCCCAACATATGTCTGGATAGTTGAAGTCTCCTCCCCCCTCCCCAAATCCTACTCTTGGGATGGGTTTGTTAATTTTTTTTTTAAAAAAAAGCCCCCTATCAAATGTATTGGTGGTTTTGAGGGGATAGGATTGTCTTTGTTTTGTTTCAGTCACTGAAATATATCTACCAGTTCATGAGCCAATGGGATATTTAAGAAGCCAATTCCTTAGTGAAAATTCAGGAAATGTTACTATGGAAAAAATTATGACAAAGCTTCATGCTATTGAATTTTAAACTGGGTTCTTTGGTTTTGACTGATCATATAAATTGCATAGTTGTGGTTCTATATCTTTTAAATAAGGAGTCAAGAGAGACAGCCAGGCCATTTAGACATTTCGCGCAAGAAGGCTTATTCCTCATGGGGAGAAATAACTCTTCCAGAAGAAGCCCTGTTTTCCGAAACTGTACTGTAAATTTACTTGCACAAGAATGCACATGCAGTGTAGACGGTCTGTAAGTTTTTGTGCAAGAACATCTGTTCTTGCACAAAAAGCCAGCAGTGTAGACATAGCCTTTGAGTGAGCACACCCACCCCCAGGGCAGCTCTCTCCTTTTAGCTGGCTGATAGCAAGGAGTAGTTTAGCCCTTGCTTACAGGAAACAATAATTATTTAAGGACAATAGATGTTGAGAGTCAAAAAGTTAAAGCTTTATAATCATGAGAGCACAAATTGTCAACATCCCATGTAAGTATCCTTACATCAAACTAAATTATTGAGTACTAGACGCGGATTTTTGTACTTTGCCTGGCTGTAGGTTTTGATTATTATTCATAGACATCTTTTTTGTCCTTGTGGATACTGTGAAATCAACATTTACCAATAAAAAATTGAATCCCTGCAAGTTTAACTAGGCAGGAGTCAGACTAGATCGGGGTGGGCAATAGGTGGCCCACAGGCTGGACGTGGTTCGTCAGGTAAGCTGCTTGAGGGCTACCAGATGCTTTAGTTACTTGAGCATCTGCAGGCATGGCCACTTGCAGCTCCTAGTGGCCATGGTTCACCATTTCCAGTCAATGGGAGCTGCTAGAAGCTCGGAAGGCTAAACCACCATTACCCACAGCTCCCATTGGCTGGGAACAGCAAACCTCAGCCAATGGGAGCTGCAAGCAACCGTACCTATGGACATGAGGGAAATAAATAAAACATCTGGCAGCTTGCCAGGGGCTAACCCGGGTGAACCACATCTGGCCCAAAGGCTGCTTATTCACCCCTGGATTAGATTATCACAGTGGTCCTGCCTAGCCTTAGTGATGACATATATTTGAAGCCAGGCTTTCATTTGGGAACATGTTCAGCCGTGTTGCCAACTCTTGCAATTTTATCACACAGCTTGCTTTCATGAGATTTCCTTGATTGCTTTTGAAAGCCCCAGCAGCTGTAGTAATGAGCACACACAAGACTCTTGGCTTTAATTTTTGTAAGAAAGTTTATAGGTCCTCATGGCTGTAAAGTTTGAGAATGAGACCCAAGTACATCCGAAAGGCTCACAAGCCAGAAGGCAAATGAAAATGTATTTTTTTTAAAATAATCTCAAGATTTTTAGACCCTCCGTTGTGATTTTGGAAGATGATAGGCAACAATAGAATTTGTAGAACCAGATAACTGTTAGACGATGGGATTGTGTAGAACCAGATAACGGCAGGAGCGTGTGTAGGAAGCTGGAGAAATGTTGTAGCATGCTCTTTTAAGGGGCAGTGAGAGCTCTTGCAGTGAAGCCGGGCCCTTTTATCCCTGTCATGCTGAATGTGAGGTCTGTCTGGCATTGCACCATAAACCCCACATCACTCCATATTTCCTTGCCATGGGCAAACTCAGGAGCAGGCGGCTTGTTGCCTGGCTTTTCTGTATACCACAGAGGAGGTGGCTAAATGCCCTGGGAAAGCAGTCTCTAGGCGTAGCCAATGCACCGAAACCCCGAGAGCCTCTAATGCTGAGGCACCTTCTCGCTAGAGGGTCTGGTTAGGACACAGCTCCACCCGGAACCCTTCTCGTCAGGGCTTTGCGTGTAGACGGGCTTCTTTAGTGGCCGCGCACGAGCCCAGTGGGCGGGATTAGATCGTATAGAGAATAAGGATTTTCGGCGTCCTCTTGTTTCCGACCAATGGGAGGGTGAGGGGGTGGCTCCAGGAAGTGCCCGTTGCGCTGCGGCGGAGGGGAAGAATTAGCGGGACGGCTCGAGCTGGGCACAGACCGGGGGCAAAATGTCGGAGAGGAAGGTTTTGAATGTGAGTAGGGGGCGGGCGGCGGCCTGGCCTGGAGACGCGGGGAGGGGCCCCATAGTG